GGGGGGGGGGGGTGTCCCTCAGGCCACTGATCGGGCAGCAGTCCCCACCCCTATTTAGGGAGAAAATTCCCTCCTGGCCCGCTGTTTGACAGGACAATAACTTGTTCCCTCGCCACCCACAGACACTGAACCCAAAAGGGCTTCTAATCAATGGGCTGGCTTTGATCTGCACACAATCCCCGGTAAAGTTAGTTCAGTGGAAACAGCACAGTGGTTTAAAACCTCATGACCTCCCAAAATAGCCATCTCTAAGCTGCACTGCTTGAGTATTGAGCCAGGGCATAACAGGTCTCATCTTTGATCCTGGGCTAGAAAATGTAACCAAGTTGGGATCGTGTCACTGTTGTGGCAGGGAGGGATAAGTTAGCCTTGCAGTGATTGTCTAAAGCCATGCTGTAAGCTCCATGAAGCTTGGCACACTGGACATTTTAGAGCAGATAGTTCTTTGTTAGGATCAAAGTAGGGTCTGTCCTGGGCACTGCAGGGTGTTTACAGCAGCAGCCTCTACCCACTAGGTGTCAGTTGCACCCCCCTCCGTTGTGACAACCAACAATGCCAGTGGCCCCAGGTATCTGAAAACTACAAGTATACCACAAATACCCATGTGCATAAAGTGGAACTCCCACTAAGCAGGAAGGGATGCACACCAGCATCTGTGGGAAGGATTACATGACAGAGCTCCTAAACATCCAGGTGCCACCTTACCTCTCTCACTGCTCTAAATGGATGTGCTGCCGCATCCTGGGCAAGGCACGTGCATCTCAGGCATGTCTACTTCTGTGGAAAATGAGCACACTGAGGTCAGCAGTTCTCAAACTGAGATTGAGGAACACCTGAAGGCCCCCTAACCCTACTTTCCATGATTTGGTTGCAAGTTCATTTAAGAACTCTTCATCTGCAGATTACAAATAAGAAAAAAGTCAAACGTGTATGTTTGTAAAAAGTGGCCCTTGACAACTGTTTCACTTTCCTGTTGCAGGTGGATGGAGGTGATACGCAGTGCCACCAGCTCAGCCTCCCGTGCCCACAGTCTGAGTCACAAGGAATCTCACGTGTATTGACAGGAGGACACACCGATTGTTTCAGCTGTGGCTGCTTTCTTGGCAGACACTGTGTATTAATGAAGTCTAGTAAAATTAACACCTGTCTGGAAAACACAAACATGGTTTTACAGCCACTCTCACCTGTCTCCACAGAACCATTCCTAACCTTGTCTCTCCCACTGTTAATTTCCCATCTGAACGGAAGCGCTCCCACCCCCAATGCTGGTGGCATTTTCTCTGCCATTCTCCTGATGGGCTGTTTTTAGCTTGTGCCAGTATTAAAACATTGTCATCAATATAGTGCCAAATGACAATTTTTCCTCCACAACTGCACCTTAAAGCAGTACAGACAGATCCGTTCAACCAAAAGACAGGGCAAGTGCTCGTCTTTTTTATAGGCTGCTGCATTTTAAAAAATGGATTTTCCAGTGTTTGCAATACCCATGGCACAGTCTTAGGCAAATGAGATCATTTTCAGATTTCATTTTTTTTTCAATCTTTCTACTTTTATAATAATAGGAAGTTAGTCAGATTTACTCCTTTGATCAATAATTGATTTGCAGCACACGACGTGCCACTCTGGGGTCTCATGCTCCAATGAAACGCTGGTTCCCAGACCTACTTCCTGGCGCAAGTTGACCAAATTGTTTATTTACAAACCGTAGCAGGTTGTTTTCTGCTGAGAGAAGCAGAAGTCCAGTGCGATGTCTAGACTATCACTGTACTGTGAGTGGTATATACAACGGGAAGATGTTAAGCTGTGGTGTTTTGCTGTCTGTCTCACAAGCATGAAAACCTGTATGTCAGTCACCAGGGCCATTTGTGATGTTATGTTCTGGAGAGTCTGTGAGCTTCTGTGGATGCAGAAGCACCATGAGGAATGGTGCGTAGTACCCTGGCCTCCATCGTCATGCCTATCTATACCCTACTGCAACTGTGGTTTGGAACTGCGCATTCGATAGTAGTATATATTGTGCCTGTCTTCAAAAACATTCTTTTTCCTTTTTTATACTCATTCCCCCAGGTACGGGGTATCAACAGTATGACATTGCACATCCTTGACAGTCGGACTACACAGGGAACATACTGGGCCCACTGGTCAATGCCTGTTTGCCTCGTCTCCGTGGAGAGCGGGTGGCTGCTATCCCCCAGGGTTCTTAAGCCCTTTCTGATGCAGTCCAGAGGGGGCGGCCGATTGACACAGTCCTCCCAGTGTCCTGCGCCACCACTGGGAAAGCCCCTTGCCTAAGGCACACAGGACCACCCCAATTTGGTGGGGCTGTGACTGATTGCGTGGAAACAGCAATGTACAAATGGACGAGTAGCTTGAGATGTGTTAATCATTTGCCTTACAATGTGTACCAGATGGTTTTAAGTACTAACAAAAGGGAATAAAAATACCTCACGCCACAATCCAGCATATTGAAGTTTTAAGGCAAAACAACCCACCTTGTCTCCTGGTTTTATTTTCATCTAATTCGGGTGGGTTGGTGCCTCTGTAGGCGAGGGGCCGAGTTGGCTGGTCACTGTGAATGTGAAAGAGAAAAAGACTCAATCACTCTTTAAAGACATTCTGAAAAACTTCATATTTTAGTCTCTCTGCCTCTTTCAACATGGCACTCAGAACATTCTAGGAGACCGATCCTCGGTGGCTATAAAAGACGACTAAGACTCAGTTGGAGGGTGAAGCAGACAGGGAAGGGCTACCTGCCACTTCCTTCATGAAGGGGCCTGGAGATCAGTTCCCTGAGGCTTCTCCCACATCCCAGGGGCAAGAACAACACTTGGGAAGGTGAATCTCGGGTACACCGAGCAGCCCAGATGGCAGAGGCAGCAGCAGGAAAACTACTTCAGTATTTCTGAGTGATTCCAAACCATTTCCTGGAAATGGTTCAGGTCTAAGAGTAGCAACTCTGTGCTCCCTTCTCCTGTAACTTCAAAGAAAACCCCAGACACGTGGGCAATCTCTAGATGCTACCAAGCTGCTGGGAACAGTTTCAGAGATACCCTTAGTCCATTCAGGTTACTATATAAGCCCCTCCAGTCTGTGGTGGTTTTGTTAAACAACAGAAATTTTTCTCACAATTCAGAAGGATGCGAAGTCCAAGATCAAGGTGCCGGCAGACTCGGTGTCCAGTGAGGACCTTCTTCCTGGGGCAGAGCCAGCCTCGATGTGGCCTCACTTGGTGAAGGAAGGGCCGAGGAATTCCCGTGGTCTCTTCTTTATGGGCACTAACTGCATCATGAAGGCTCCACCCTCATGACCTAGTCATTCCCTCCTAATACCATCACACTGGGCAGTAGGATTTAAACATAAGTGGGGGGGGGAGGGGCACAATTCAGTCTTTCCCTCTACACATAAGACATGAAATTACAAAAATAATTGTTTTCTGTGAACTTTATTGACCCTTGCATGATACAGTACCTGTGCTTAAGAACACACCTTGCAGCACTCCCCACTTATTGCCATATTTTATAGCAGAAATACAGAAGCCATATTTTTACGGAAGAAAATATAAAAATGCTTTATAAACAGGCCATATGCTTGCCAAAAGAAAGGTACAAATGCTACATGAAAAACTAGACACTTAACAAGACCAACTCAAGAACAAAATTGTCAGATTCGGAAGGTGTGTGGCACTTGGTTACATCAAAACAGTCACGAGACCAACTCTTAGGATATCCCAGCCCACACCGGTGGCTACCTCAGTGCAGCCAGCTGGGACACAGAGAAAACAGTTTCAAAAGCATAAACAAGCAGCCAGCGAGCCAGCCCACTGCCTCAGTTTCCAAAAGGCGGTAGCTATGCTTGTGTGTGAAACTGTCTCCCCCACTAGGAACACCACCACCATCTGCAGTCTCTACGCAGATAAGCTGTCAGCTGCTGGGGTTTGGCATCGAGAGGCTTCCAAGTGTTAGTAAATCCATCTTGAATGCTGGGCTCACCGGTCTGGCTAATCACCAACAGCGTGGTCGGAGGCAGGCCCCATTGTAGTTCTGGTACCTGGTCTGTCTTTTAATAAGGGACTTAAAGTGGATACACAAATGCTTCCCTCCTTGGCTTAAACAAGATGCCCTTAAAAATAAGCTGAGTGTGTGTGTCTACAGAAAGTAACAAATCAGAAGAGATTGTAGAAGTTAAGTGATCCACTTTCAACATCCAGTGAAACCACATCTTTCCCAGGCAGCTTAATCCACAGATACTTCCAGTAAACTAAGAGTAAACTGCTGCTTTATCCGGGAGACAGGCACTGTGTGCTATAGTCTAGTGATTGCAGAATATCTACTAACCACTGCACGTATTTGAGATTGGCTTAAGTGTCATCATCCACTTGCAAATTTTAGGAACTTTAACTTAGAAAGCTGCTGCCTACGTTCTCTCTTAAAATCAGGCAAGCACTTTGGGGAACACTGCTCATTCTTTAAGTGATTCTCCTGTAATGAACTAAACTGATCTTTGGCTTATGCCTCATTGGGAAATCAAAGTTCCCGCATTCAGAATACTCTCAGAAACACAAAATGAAATATCCTCAAAATGTATTTTTGAAGTTAACATTCTTGCTGCAGAATAACACGTGTGCACAGTAAGAGATAGCAATTCAGTTTTATTCCCCCTAACCACAGTGTATCCTTTATAGAAATTCGACCCAAATCTTCTAATTAAGAAAAATTTTAGAATTTAAAAACTAGACTCCATTAACAAACCTAAACAATAACCACCCACTCAAATGTGTCTGACTCAGGCCTCTGTCCTCTCCCCCTTTAACTTCCAGACCACTAGGCCAGCAGATATATCTGACCTTCCATCCCAAAGTTTACCCAGTAACCTTCTTGCCTCTGGAAGTCCTTTGTCTCCCCCCTCAAGAACTACTACACCAAGAGGTGACAATGATTCGTATCAAAAATATAAAAGTTCCATGAATACTTAAACCAGACAGTCAAGAATTGCTGTAAGAATTCTATTTCCCATACCAGAGACCCAGAGATTTATTTCTCCCCTTGGCAAGCAACACCCTGCCACAAGCCAAGAAATGTAGACACCTGGCTGGCAAGCTAGTGGACACAGGCCCCTATATGAACAAAATAACCCTTAATTGAGATCTCTGGGAAGAGAGCAATTTTACAAATCAGCAGTATTCAATCCTATCTTCTCAATGACCAATTTTTAAATTGCATAGGGAACTAACCTGAACATTCAGCATTTCAAATGAGGGCACTTCTTCCTAGAGCGTTCTAGAATGTTGCATCACACACAACCACACATACGCACACAAATACACATGGCAGGTGCGCTGCCCTCTCAAGAGTCACATTTCAAGGAGAGTATGCAAGGTAAGTGTTATAAAATTTATTCGTGTAAGCATTCAGACATTTTAGGTGGGAAGATGATACGCAGATTTCACTACAAGGTGCAACAAAATCATACTGGAGAGAATGGACAGCTGGCGCAGGACTGGCAGTGGAACAATTCCAAATGAATGTTAGACGAGAGCACTTCATCGGGGAGAAACTTAAAATAATAATTTAAAGCTTCATGAGGCAAGGTATGTTCCAATTTAAAACACTAAGAAATAGTACCATCAATGAAAAAGGAAATCAACTTCTAAGTGTACCAAAAAGGTTGTAGGGCAAATGAGGAAAATTTGCATTTGTTGAGGTACAAATAGGAGTGTTCCTTAAGAGGGGCATTAGTTATTATTAATGGCAAACCCTGCAAATACAAAATAAAACCCAAATCACTGGTCACATAATTCAAAATTTACATGTAATAAAGGCAAGGCAATAGACTCAAGTTATGGCCTGTCAAATATTTACTCCACTGACATTATCTACAGAAGCACTTGGCCAATTTGTACACAGTGATTCCTTATGCACGCCAAAAAGGTTTCCGTAAAAATGACACTATATACAAATCTGTACACTGAGCCACCAGAGCAATTCTCCGTCTCCCAGGGAGGGGAGTACAACTTAAAGCAGGATACCTGAGGTTTCATTTCTTCAGTTGCCTTATCATTATCCCAAATATACACTTCAGGGTTTGTGTGTGTTTGTTTTTAAAGACACTTTCCTTGATATGTGCACTATGGTTAAAATTAAAAACAAGAATAATAAAATAAAATGATCGCTGGAAGGAGCTGACCCTCCCCACCCCATCTAGAGACTTATCTGGCCGAGGCCAGCGAGGAAGGACACTGTGGCCCTGGACAGGCAACCTCGGCTGGGGCCAGCCCTCAGAGGTGCAGCTCTTCAGCGGAGTCAGCAAAGGCTCTCGTTGACTTTTTAAAGGGAGCAGGATGAAGAAGGAAAAAACAAAACCCCAAATGCCAAAGGAATTTCAGTGGGATGAAGTTCCTCCACCACTTAGAGAATATCTAGGAAATAACAAAGAAGGAAATGAAAGTCAATAAATGTCATTTCTCTATATTAAAAAGTTAATTTGCAAAAATTCAAACAATAACCAAAATCCTCATTTTTACAGACACTCCCAAGTCATTAAAAAAAAAAAAAAAAAAAAAAAATGGAGCAACTATCAATGGATTATTATATAAAGAATTCATAAAAATTCTTTTCAAGAATTCATAAAAATTAAGAGAATCATGATTCTAACACAAATATTTTCACAGGAGGTTAAATTCAGCCATAAAAGAAAGGTATGTAATAAAAAGTGAGAATGTGGTTCAACCTTCCAGGAGAGAAAAGATGTGAATAAAACAGTAAATGATACACCTTCACTTATAATCCATTTAAAAATTGAAAAATCAGGAATACCCAATGACATGGTGAGATTCCAGGGAGGCGCAAACATGGCTGGTTTGAGGACCAGTGCAAGAAACCCTTTTGGCCACAAAAATACTGATGTCTGCTCAGGTAATCCACTTCCTGGAAAGGTCTCTTAAGATTTTTTGTAATTATAACAATTAGGAAGCACTCTGATGTCCAATAATAGACAAATGGCTAAGCAAACAAAGCAGCTGGATAAAATAACAGATTAGAAGCTGTAATTATATTTAATATTAAATCTATGCACAAGTTAATAAGTGTACACAAAATTATACACATAATTTTACAATTTCTTTATCCTAAAATACATGCAAAAGAATGCCCAAAAAACTGTATGTGCACTATAATTTTCAGAAATGTAAAAAATTAGTAAGTTCATGACATATATATAATAATGGAAGGCAATACAACAAAAATGATGATAATGGTAACTGGGCTAGAATGGTGGGATCATGTAGGCTTTCTTCTGTTTTTCAATAATTCTGCAGTATTGTCTTGCTTTGGAATAAAAAAGAAGGGCGGGGGTGAGGGTGGGAGGTCCCCTCATGGCCAAGATTCTCTCAGACACCTCAAGACTGACGCAGTCACAGCAGAGGACTGAGGACACATTTAATAGGACTTAACATAAATATTCCAACCGGGAGTTCCTCTTTCCAGGCCATTTG